ATGTGGGTGACCCCACCCAGATAACATGACAAATGGGCTTCCTCGCAGTGCCTCCTTTCCCACATGAAGCAACGGCTGGTGCAGGCTCCATCTGCACAGCCATGAAGTGGAACTGGCATGGCTGGTTCTTGCCTGCAACTTTGGCAGCAAGGATGGGGTCAAAGCCGCCACCAGCCAAGATCAGCAAGCCAGAGAGGTTTAATCAGATCTTCCTCTGCCTCTGCCTGCTGCTTGTGCCATCCCAGCTTGTTTTAGAAAGGGAGAAGGCGCAGCTGCTGTTGCCCGTGCTGTGGTTTGCAAGGTGGTAATGACAGACTGCAGGGTTTATTTTATCTCTGTTCCAAAACATGCCAGGACAGCACAGCAGAGGCACAAGGCTGCTCACTCCGTGTCCAGTAGCTTCTGCAAGCTCATTTCAGGAGTCCTGCTTTTCACTTTTGATGCTCTTGTCACTCGCTTGCAGTAACTGACATGAGCAACTGCCCCTGCTACTGCTGGCCTCACAGGAGTTCTTCGCCCTCCTGGCAGAGCTGCTCTTGGCTGCCCTGCAGGGTTGCTCCTGTCTTGCACAGGGTGAATCCGCTGAGATCTACAACCACTGGAGTGCCAGGGCCCCTTCATCAGTAGCCACTGGTAGAGCCATGCCACCTCACCTGCTGCCGCCTTCAGGCTGCAGGTCTACTCAATGCTGCAGGTGTTGGGCTACGAGCTGAGCCCAGTACTCTTTGGGCCCTGGCCCTGGTGGGTGCTAGTTCTCATGCCGGCTGTGCACTTCGGGATGCTCCAGAAGTCATACATCTGGAACAAGTTGCCCCATACCAGGCAGGAGCAGCCCAGCAGGATGGCTGAAAGCAGCACTGCCAGGAAGGTAGAGATCCCCCACAAGGCCAGCAGCAGCACAGGCAGCTGCTTGGCTGCCAGCAACCAAGTGTTCCAGCAGCAGGAGGGCCAGTAAGAAGGGCAGGTAGAGGCTGAGGCGTGCCAAGAACTTGGAGCATGGCAGCTGACTAAGGTAAGACTGTCCTTGAAGGGGGCATGAGGTGCGTGGGGCCTCCTGCTGCTTTGGCAGCCTAAATCAGCTGCAAAAGCAGCTGTAATTCTTCAAGGCAGTGGCAGGAGATCACCTGCTGATCAGCTGTTTCGTAGACTAATCTGCTGGTTATACTGTTAGGCAAGGAGGCATGAGGGGCAGCTCGTCCCTATCACCCCAGTACACGGGGGGAGGGGAAAATAAGACCCTGAAAAGAATCCCTAGCTGCTTTTGGGGGTGGGGTCAAAAGAAAATAAGACCCGGTTGTTAGGAATATAAGTCACCTAACAGCTATTTGGGTTGGACAATATATAAACCAGGATAGACATTTTAATACTGTATCTTTAAGAAAATGCAAAAACTGTAGTTGGGTGTGGTTTCTCAAATGGCCATAAGATGGAGCCAGAAACCTGGGTTGTCTTAGTCTTAGTCTCAGAAGAGAGACTCAGTGAGTCTCTGTTTCCTTCTGTTGGAGAGTATTGCCATTCTTCCTAATTGACTGATATTCTTGGATTTGATGTAAGTCTGATACTGAACTGTTTTTGACACTGGACTTTTTTATTGGATTATCCCTGGACTGAAAACTGACTGATTTAACCTGTGAATGACTTTGGACTGCCTATTTTGAACTTTGCTTAAACTTTCTGGAAGTAAAAAAACTACATTTACTGTACAGTGTATCTGTGTGCTGTGTGTGTATTATTCAAACACTTTTCTCAATACGTCTCCCTGTATGCGCTCATTCTCCTAACGGAGAATTACCTCAACACCAGTCTTATATTCAGGGAAACAGGGTAAGAGGGGTGGGTGCTAACTTTCTTCAGTGTTTTGTTTTATTATTTTTGTAACCATGTGAGTCTCCCAGTGTATGGCTATGCTGTATAAATTGAACAAATAAATTCACACAGAGACTACGTGTAGCAAATGAATACATATGCACATACATATGAGTTTTCATAAGAATAAAAATACTTGTTTTACGACGGGGCATATTCACTAGAACAGGGATCAGCAACATACAACTCCAGAGTCGCATACGGCTCTTTAAGCCCTATCCTACAGCTCCCTGTCGGATGATTCCACCACTGGGTAGCCCTTCCCCTCCCCTCCTACTCACTCCTTGCCTGCCCTGAGAAGGGTGAAGGCAGCGGATGGTGGCTTGTTCCATATTCCAGAGTGGGAATGAAGTGCCCTTCTACTTGCCTCTTTTTCCGGCTCTTATTGGTGCTATGCGCACCTCGGCCGCTGGGGGAGACGTGCAACTTTTCTCTATCCTGAGACACAGGCTGGGCCAGCTGCAGCCAATGCTCCGTGTCTTGATGGGCTCCAGGAGGAGGGGATGCAGTCTCCCCCATTTCTGCCTACAGAAAAGGTGATAGAATGCTATACAATCAGGCCAGAAACATATTAACAAGAGAGATCAGAGCAGAAAAAAAAAAAAGCTACTCTGAAAAGTTAAGGAATTAGTTCTCAACAAATGAACCAGCAAACATGTGGAAAACTCTTAAAAACATCACTGGCTAAGCAAACCTCCTTCCCAGGCTGAAGAAAATCAACATCTAGCAGATGACCTGAATGTGTTTTACTGCAGGTTTGAAAGGAAACTAAAGCCACCTATCTCCACAACCCACATCTCAATCACACCAACAACAGCCAAGCCTCCTACAACTGGCCCAAATCCATTGGGTTCACAACCTCTGGTGATCACAGAAAAAGAAGTGCAAGATCTATTTCACAGACAAAAGCCAGGAAAAGCACCAGAGCCAACAAGATAACTCCTTCTTGCTTAAAAGTCTGTGCTGACCAATTGGCCCCCATCTTCACCCGAATCTTCAATAGATCACTTTAGATGTGCTATGTTCCTTCTTGCTCTACTATCATGCCAGTGCCAAAGAAGCTCTCTATCAAGGAACTGAATGACTACAGACCAGTTGCTCTAACATCTGTAGTTATGAAAATCTTTGAAAGACTAGTGCTGTCCCACCTGAAAACCATCATGGATCCACTGTTAGATCCCATGCAGTTTGCATACTGAGCAAACAGATCGACAGATGATGCTATTAATATGGCTCTGCATTACATTCTACAACACCTTGAATCTCCAAATACCTACACAAGGGTCCTCTTTGTAGACTTCACTTCAGCACTCAATACCATCATTCCAGACATTTTTCTAACTAAATTAAACCAACTAGAGGTACCTGAACACATTTGTAAGTGAATCATAAGCTTCCTAACAGACAGGAAGCAGCAGGTGATGCTAGGCAGAATCACATCTGATACCTGTACAATTAGCACAGGGCCCGCCCAAGGCTGTGTGCTTTCTCCACTTCTCTTCTCCCATATACCAATGACTGTATTTTAAATGATCAATCTGTTAAAATACTGAAGTTTGCAGATGATACAACAATGATTGGTCTCATTCGAGACAACGAATCTGCATACAGACAGGAAGTTTACAACTAGTCTCATGGTGTAACCGGAACAATCTGGAATTGAACACACTCAAAACCGTAGAAATGGTGGTAGACTTTAGAAGAAACCCTCCCATACTATTACCTCTTACAATACTAGACAACACAGTATCAACAGTAGAGACCTTCAAATTTCTAGGTTCTATTATATCACATGAGCTAAAATGGACACCTAACATCAAAAACGTCATCAAAAAAGCACAATAAAGAATGTTCTTTCTGCACAAACAAGCTCAAACTGCCCAAGGAGCTACTGATACAGTTTTACAGAGGAATTACCTTGTTTATCATCTGTACCTCTATAACTGTCTAGTTTGGTTCTGCAACCCAACAGGACAGACACACTTCAGAGAATAATTAGGACTGCAGAAAAAAACAATTACTACCAACCTGCCTTCAATCAAGAACCTGTATACTGCTCAATTCAAAAAGAGGGTTGTGAAAATATTTACAGACCCCTCACATCCCGGACATAAACTATTTCAACTCCTTCCCTCAAAACAACACTTAGAGCACTGCACACCAAAACTGGACACAAGAACAGTTTTTCCCCGAAAGCCATCACTCTGCTAAACAAATAATTCCCTCAACATTATTCAACTATTTACAAAGTCGGCACTATTATTACTATTAATTTTCTCATCACTACTTATCACCCATCCCCTCCCACTTGTGACTGTGTGACTGTAACTTTGTCACTTGTATCCTTACGATTTATATTGAATGTTTCCTAGTATGATTTGATTGCTTATTGTACCCTATGACTATCATTAAGTGTTGTATCTTATGATTCTTGACTCTTGACGAATGTATCTTTCTCTTTTATGTATACTGAGAGCATTTGCACCAAGACAAATTCCTTGTGTGTCCAATCACACTTGGCCAATAAAGAATTCTATTCTATTGTATTCTAGTGAAGTGCGCTAAGTTTAAGTATATTGCACGAGGTGCTGCACGAACAGTGAGCAGCCATGAAGGTGGTGAGAGGAACATGGGGAGACGCGCAACTTTCTTTCCACCCCGAAGCACCGGCTGGGCCAGCTGTGGCTGACGCTGCTGCTCTCACCACCTTCATGGCTGCTCACTGGTCTTGCAGCGACTGGCACAGCACACTTAAACTTAGCGCGTTTCACAAGAAAGAGAGAAATGAGAGAAAGAGAGAGAGGGAGAGATGAGAGAAAGAGAGATGAAAGAGAGACACGCCTGTTTAAAAGAAAATACTGGGTGCCACAAAACCTGAGTGGGCGTGGCTTGGGGGATCCTGTGACTGGGTTGTAGTGATGTCGAGATGGCCACGCCCACCCAGGTTTTATGGCTCCCGGTATTTTCTTTTATGTGGGAAATGGGTCCAAATACCTCTTTCAGCCTTTAAGGTTGCCAAACCCCTGCACTAGAATCACGTATAGTGATTCTTGATTTCTTGAATCAAGAAGAAATCAAGAAAGAGGCTTAAAAGTAACCCTTTCAATCCCTAATCCCCATTCCCGGCCTTTTACCTGGACACCGTGCATGATATAAACCTTTTCCGCCTCGCTCAGGACCACCGACGCCATAATAATTACTCCTTAAGCGCAGACTCCTTCTCCAACACCAAGAACCTCTCATCCGATTGTTAAAAAAAGGCGCCTGACACCACCATAGAGTTCTATTAGCCTCGCGCCTCCGCAGCGCTTTCTGATTACGTCAGTCTCATTAGTCCGGTTTTTGGTTTCTTCCCGTTTCTGTTACGAATGCGTGGAGAAATGGCATCCTCTCCTATTCTCACTGGGTGATTCGTTCCTTGGTCGTACGTCACGGATGGCGAGGGAAGCTCAACTCCGGGATTTTCCGTCTTCAGTGCAGTTCTTTTTGGAGAAGCGAGACGGTGCTTCTCATGTTCAAGGCATTCTTCACAATCGTAGGTATGTTTAATCACATACAAATCCAGCTGATCGCGTCAGATAAATGTACCCTGGACTATGGTTTTATTTGCGAGTATACTATGGCTAAATTTATGAGTAGATTTCTGTGCAAGTAGAATAGACTCAAGGTGATGCATAATATCCCGAATACAATTGTTTTCAGAATTTGAAATTTTAAACATAATAGTTACAATGCAGAAGCAATAAATAAATCTGATATAGGCTCTACATCATCCGGCCTTTTGAATGATACTCAGTATTGAATATGAATTCAGTATCTGAAAAAGATGTTCATAATAATAGACAAATTATTTCTTTTCCATACTCTAATGGGAAACGCTTAATTCCATACACCTAATGGAAATGCTGTTTGTCTTTTGATCAATCAAAGCCATATTAAAGTTTCTAATTTTTTGTCTTTGCAGGAAAAAAAATCTTTGTAATTCTAAATGTTTTAGGAATAAGCTTTCATGTATTATAATTTATTTAGTTAAAAGTGTGGAATATTGACCTTAGAAAGATATATTACATCCATGGTTATGGGTCACCAATGTATAGATAACTAATGTAAGACAATCTTGCCTCTGTCACGCCAGATTAGATAGACAAGCATGTGTCTTTCCATTATCACAATCAGTTCTAAAAATGCTTTCCTCTAGCTTAAAAGAATGACAGTATTTGAAGTAAAATAACTACAATGTTGCTCCTTTCAGTAACTGTATTAACTATATATAGTAAGGCTATTCTTTTAGCTAAGCCTATATAGACATTTATTTCAATAGAATTTTCATATACATACATACATACATACATACATACATACATACATACATACACATATACATACATACATACATACATACATACACACACACACACACACACACACACAATAGAGTTCCTGACCTGAATTGCAAATTGGAATAAAAAACTTACAATGTTTGGGTAATGGTGGAAGTCATTTTGAGCACTGTATGTGTAATGCTGTATATATTCTTGTTTGGAATTGTTTCTGGAGTTAACATTCCTGCAATAGCATCAGTAGAATGGTAACACCCACGTTTATCTATGTTAGTCTATGGCAGGGGTGTCAAACTTATGTCGTCACATGTGACATATAGAAAATTTCCCCCCTTTGCTAAACTGGGCATGGACATGGGCACGGACAGCACATGACACATCTGGCCCAGGGGCTTGACAGTGGTCTATGGTGACAAAATATCAAGAGTTTGGGCATATTTTGTAAATAACAAATTTTATTCAAAGGACACATTTTAGTGAGCTGCAGCTCACTTCATTAGATGCATACAGCTCATGAAAACATGTACCTTTTAATAAAAATGGTTAGTCAAAAGGGTGCCAGCAAACTCCTAATTTTTGATACCTAATTCTGTTTCTCCTTTATCTTTAAATGTACCAATTCTGAATAAATTATAGTATCCTTTAAAAATAGTTTGAAGTGTAATATGTTGTTGGTTCATTTTATTCTCTTGATTTCTAGATAACTTGTGTGGCCTCTAGGATTAACATACCATTGCTGAGCACAATATACTATATTACTGTCCTGACTCCAAATTTGACTATTAAAATATATTGGTTTGGCTGCTGATACAATCAGAACCTACAGCTAAACTCTAGTGCAAAATATACTAAAAATGAAACTGATTAACCTCTTCAAGTTAGTAAGTATTGGTCTGTAGCTTAATTTCTGCTTCTTTATTATGCAGCCTTATTTTAAGATTATGTTATTTTTTCTCACTTTAGGATATTTTTGAATTTATTTTTAATCAGATTATTATAATGGTATAATTTTCTTGCACTGTACATTTTATGGTTTGAATTTTTTAATGATTAATAGTATAAAAACAAACTTTCAATAAAATAAAAGTAATATGTGAAACAAAACTTTTTTATTTGGAAAACATGTGATATTGTGTGATTCTACTATTTACTATGGCAAATAGTCCTCAACATATGATCACAACTGAGCCCAAAATTTCCATTGCTAAGCAAGACAGTTAAGTGAGTTTTGCTTCATTTTATGACCTTTTTTGCAGCATCTTTTAAGTGAATCATTGCAGTTAACAGAACTGTTAAGTGAACCTGGCTTCCCCATTTATTTTGCTTGTCAGAAGGTCACAAAAGGTAATCACATAACCCAAGGACACTGCAACTGTCATAAATAGATGCCAGTTGCCAAGTGTCCAAATTTTAATCACATGACCATGGGGATACTACAATGGTCCTAAGTATTAAAAACGGTCCTAAGTTACTTTTGGCAGTGCCATTGTAATTTCAAATGATCATTAAACATATGGTTGTAAGTTGAGACTATTTGTAGTATATTTTTAGTATTCTAAGATGGCCTAGGTGAGGGCTGTCAAACTCCCTGTCCGTGGGCTGGATAAGTCATGTGCTGGCCATGCCCACACCCAGTTTAATGAAGATATGTCATGTGATGCTGCCATGATAACGTGAGTTTGACATCCCTGGTGTAAGCCCTAAGACAAGCTGCTGTCTTAGGCCATCTCAGACCACTACAGTATTAATAAATAATTTATTATTTTATTATTTATTTATTAATAATTATTACTCTGTAAATATTGCTATCAGCAAATAGAACTCCATCTCTCACCTATCAAGATGCATTATACCACAAACTACACAAATTATTTGACACCTGAAGAAGTCTAATTCTAGATTTTCCCCTCTACCTATCAGTAAAATCATTGACTGTACTAAATGTTCTTTGATCCAATCTTAAGCATTAAGTTCAGCTGAAACGAATGGTATTTTCTGCTAAGTATGTACATTAAGGATAACTGATAATAAACGTTGACGGCTTTGTGTCGCATCTGTGTTCCTTACACTTTCTGTATCAAGTGGAAAGGGAAGAACTCAGGCCAATTTAAGAGTACACCGCGTCGCGACCATAATCCGTTCCATTTGGTCGTGATCGTCTGCGCGTGCGCGGACAAAAACAATTGGCGCCGAAGGGGAAATCGCCGCGGCGATTTTTGGGCTTGCTTCGTCGCCACCCGAAGATCTATTTGCTATCAGAAGCAAAACTTATTAAAATTCTGGTCGTCACCCAATTTGGTCGCGAACAGAAGCGTTCGCGACCCGAGGTTCCGCTGTATTTTAATTCAATCAATAGCCCTATTCAATGAGCGCACTTCTAGTTACTGGAGGATGTGACAGCAACCATGCAGCTGCCGCAGGAGTGACCGGCACGCCTCCTTCAAGACGGTCTGTCCCCTCGGTGGGAGGGAGGCGTTCCGATTCTGCGGAAGCAATTTCGACGTTACTCACTTCCTGGTTTCTCCTTTTTCTTTCGCAGCGCGAATGGGGAAGCTGCGAAAGGAGAGAGGTAAGCCTTAGTCTTATCTCTCAGCCAGGAGCTCCGGGCTGGGTGTTGAAGGGCTGGTTTCTCCGTCTGCTGGCAGGCGAATGGAACGCTGTGCTGGGCTGAGCGGTGGAAAGGCGAACCAGGAGAAGCGGGCCGCTGGCAGAGCGGGGGCGGCATCAGAGGCAGCGGCGAGCGTGTTGCTTCATCTTCAGCCTGGGTAAGTTAAAGAGGAGTTCGTCCAGTAGGAAATGTTTCCATTCCGGGGATTTTGAGCTCTCGCTGGGAAAAGCGGTAAATGCGCATCAAAGAGACAGCGTTAAGCGAAAGATCTGCAACGTTGCCTTTTCTGCAATCGAGAACATGCGACGGGAGCCCTGCAGGTGGATATGCCCCTCGCGCGCCTGAGTAAGAGACAAATAGAAGAGTGAATCAAGGAAGCTCATAATTTTGGCCCTGGTTGGATAGGCGGTATGATTTTTACAAGGTAAAAAGACAGTAACACCGAGAGTCAAGAGAGGGCCCGACCACGTCCTTATTGGAACTCTATTGGAACTCTAATCGTGTTTCGCTATCTGATGCAGTTCCTTTTCTTTCTGAATGCTTTGAATCCAAAATCCAAAGAAATATGCTTCTGGGCTGCCAAATCATGTTTCCCTTTCCAATACATGCAACCAGATTAGAAAATTTGGAGTGAATTGATGATGTGGTTTTCACTGTAGATACAAAGATTCCTATAGTTGTCCTCCATCAAAGCCTTTTTATGAGCTCATATCTTTATGAGCTGCCAAGTGTCATATGATTATGATAGGATATAACTTTGATAATTAAATAGAATATTTCATTATTCCTAGGGATGAATTGCCATTTTCATCAATTTATATTTTTTAGTAATTTTGTTAAATATAATTAAAACAAAAACATAACTAATTTAAAAAAAAGAAAGTACAGAAAAGAAAAAACAGGAAAGAAAAGAAATAATATAATAAGGAAAATATTAAAAAAAATTCCTTCATCACTACATATAAACAATTATAGTTTATCTTTTTTAGAATACAACAAATCTCTTCTTCCCATGTCTCATATTTTATCAATCATCAACTCCTTAAAACTTCATCATTTAGTTCTCCATCACCAAAAGTTCATTAAGGATTCCAGAGATAATATCTGTTTTAGTCCTGATTAAATAAAGCAATTTTATATTATTTTTATTTTAACTATCTTGATCTTTAATTCAAATAATATTCTAGAACTTTATTTCTTTTAAGTTTTCTTGTTCCTTTTCACAAAAATTTTCAAAGCTTTAACAAGTCTCTCTTGTAAATCCAATATAGGAAAAGTATCGAGCACACTTTTGGTTTGTTATTTGTCTATCTGTTTTAATTATTAAGACATTAGTTGCTTCATTTGTATACTCAGGGTAGCATATTTTTCCAGATCCTACTTGTAGTTTGCCATTTTTAAATTCACTTTCAGATTAGTCTCAGTCTTGTCTAATATAGCTTGTTCCTTTTCCATTACATCTTTTAAACATAGTCTGTCTATAATGACATATACTTTTAAAATTAACTTCCAAATCTACTGTTCACAAGTAACCTTCAGTAAGTCCAAGGTTAAAGTTA